TGTAATCATGATTACAGCTGTAATCAAACTTTGTAATCACGATTACAAGTAATTGATTACTGTAATCAATATTGTAATCATGATTACAGCTGTAATCAAAATTTTTGAAAATTGTAATCATGATTACAAGTAATTGATTACTGTAATCGACTATGTAATCATGATTACAGCTGTAATCAAACTTTGTAATCACGATTACAAGTAATTGATTACTGTAATCAATATTGTAATCATGATTACAGCTGTAATCAAAATATTTGAAAATTGTAATCATGATTACAAGTAATTGATTACTGTAATCAAAAAATGTAATCGATTACATTTTTGGCCAACTCTGAATGTTTCCCTTTTTCTCTAAAATGTAATAAAGTAGAGGGAAATTCATTTGCTACTTTCGCTAGGATAAAACCTTAAGCACACAGTTTTGTAGTGCGATTTTGAGCTCCACCATTGATAGAAAATGTTTTGAATATACCATGTGAAGCTAAATAAAATATTTTTGCCTTCCAAGTGCTATCTGCGTGGCCCAACAACACTCAACCATGACTGCCACCCTTTTGTATATATATATATATATATATATATATATCACCTTAAAATATCNCATATAACGTCGTTGCCGAGTGGAAGGATTAAAACAGGTCTTAGCCCGGGAAGGAGGGTACAAAATTTATTTATTAATTATAAGACAGAGCAGTCATGAAAGTGTGTACACGATAAGTTCCGCTTCACGGTTATATGTTAGGGAGAATCTTGAAAATTTAAATCTGTAAATGTCTCTATTTAGAGAAAAGAGGGAAATCTTAGATATAACTATTGGTTTAAGAAATAGGTCGAGTGATTCCCAGGAAGATTAAAGGGGAAAATGTCCTGCTTTTAATTAATGCATAGTTGAGCCAAAAATAGATTTAAGAACAGGATGTGGCTTTTAAAAGTGTGAGAAAGCATTTTGATTAGAATAATTAATTATGATAACATAAGAAAATTTACTTATTAATTTTACTATTATTTACATAATTGTTTTATTTCTAATCTTATTTGTTAAATAGTATTTTTAAGGATTATTAGTAAGTATGGAAAATGGGTCTAAAGTGGACAAATGGAATATTTCTGTTATTTTATAACTCACAATTTTTCTGTAATTTCAGCAGATTGGCAAAACTTTTTCTCCCTTTCATATGCAGTTGCTGAGCAACTATAATATTCTATAATATTTACAGTGGTAGTGTGATAACAATTAAATTAAGCATATTTTATTAGTCCAAATATCAGGCCTTATACACTTATTTGATTTGTTTATGTGTCATGGTGGTCAAATTCTTTCTAAATCAAATTTAGTTCAAGAGAAAAAAAATTAGTACCATTTGAGACATTCAAAAAAATCTCCCGTTGAATTCATTAGGCCTTAACTTTAAGTAATATAGGCATTGTGAAGATAATTTACTCAAAATTGTATATTTTTCCATTTTACAAGTAACGGTAGATTAAGCAATTAATTTTATTGTTTGTTCTCCCTGACTCCATATTGTAGGGCTAGTGTGAATAAAGCACATTAAAAATATAAATTTTTAAGAAAGTATGCTTCTAAATTCAAAATTTTGTACCATTCAAAATAAATTACAAGCAAAAATAAGTAAATAAATGGAATATAAAAGATATGTTCAAACTAATTATAAGTAAACGTTTTGGGGCAAAATTATGAAGTTGTATAATAAAATAGTATTTAAACTAAATTCAGTAATGTTACAGCGCATAGAAGGCCAAGGCCTACTGTGCCCATCTGTTTTCTTGACCTTGGACTTTAGGATGCAGGAGCAGATGTTCTAGTCAGGTGGTCAGCTGAACGCAGAACCCCCAGTGTTTAGTTCCCAACCATGCTTGGTACTCATTTATCGACCCACTGAAGGGATGAAAGGCTAAGTCAACCTTTCCTGGCCCGAGGATCGAACCTAGGGCTTGTGGCACAGGAGCGCGAAGCGCTTCCTCTCAGCCACGGGGAGTCAAAATAGTATTTATATAGTTATTAGTTTTAGAATAGTTGCTTATGGCCAACTCTATATGTTTATTAACACCTTTAGTAAATTTTACCTATCATTGAAAGTAATATTATTTTTATAATTGTTGTTTTGTTTCAAACCCTATATTATATTGGTAACTTATAGTGATCTTTACTAATTACTTACTAAAAGTAAAGTATATGTGCAATAAGGAGGAGGATTATTAGGAGGTGAATGAGGTCCAGCTCTCCAAATATGTAACACCGGAAACTGCTTACTATGGGACATTATACCAGAAAAACAACAGAAAATAGGTGCAACATTTAACAAAGCATCATATGTACTAAGATTTAGGGCATGCACATACAAAATTAAAGTGACAGTCAGGGGCTACATCATTTGATTCGTTTGTTGGTTGGCTATGCTGCCTCTTATTTTATTCTTTTGTTCTATCACAAAATTTGTTAGCAGATAAGTGATATAAATTATTGCATCTAAAATCATTTTTTTGAGAACCATAATGATAATTCTCAAAGAAATACCTTAAAAACGAAGTGCAGCACTGTTAATGAATAATGAAAAATTGCGGTAACTAACCAACCATACATTAAAAGAGAAAACATTCTTTCTTCTCTACAATCCCAGCAGTAGTTAAAAGAAATGAGTGCAAGCCCATTTCAAGGAGATCATCTGCTGTTACCCCCCTAAATGTTTCTTTTTCCTTTTTACACAGAGATGGGTTACTGGTTTACATTATGTCTATGGAAGCTAGCTTTCTTCTTTGTATGATTGGTCTTCAATTTTTGTGACTAACAGCATAATTGAGGAAATTTTTATCAGCTTTGCACACCTAATAACTTACTTTTATCTTTATGACTGTTGTCTTATTTCAGACCCTATATGTCTATTGGTACCCTTCGTGATCAAGTTATTTATCCTCACACTCTTGAGGATATGAGAAATGACAACAAGTCTGATGATGATCTCTTTAAAATCTTAGAAATTGTTCACCTACAGCATATTGTTGTGAGGGAAGGAGGTAAGTTTTTTTTTAATGTTCAGCTCTTAACTGCATACTTTTATTTTTCACTTAATAGAATGCAATCTTAATGGTTTCTTGGACTAAATTAAAATATGTTTATTAATCGTAGCAGAAGATTATTTAAGTCACGCATGAGGCATATTACTTTCTGTGTGAAGTGTTAAAACAACTTTAAGGGCTCTGAACTCTATACCTATTTCTAGACTAAATTTTTGGGAATACATGTTCTTGATTTCAGCTGTATGAGTCTAAAATTCTCTGAATATATTTATAAAAAGGTGTGTTTATTCAGAAAAAATATTTTTTTGTTTCAGATTCAGATTCAAATGATAGTTTAAATTATCATTTGCATTATTTAATTAGCATATTTAAAGTTAGATTTATGCATCTTAGTTTTTGAACTTATCGCTATTAAATAAAAATTATTCAATGTTTCCTTTTTGTTTTGTTAATGACTACAATGGAATTTAATATATGAGGACCTCTTATTGATAGTCGTTAGTGCTTATTCTTATGCTTTTTTCTCTCCAGATTATAAAATGTAGTAATTCAATAAATGAAGATCTCACATTGCTCGCCTTCAGTGCTTGTTCTCATGTTTTACTTTTTCAGACTGCATAAATGCAATTAAAAAAAGAACTTCACATTATTAGTCCTCAATAATTTCACTTGAGCTTTTTGCTCCAGGCTGTATAATGCAATTAAAAAAATAAGGATTGAGTTTGTAAGTCCTAAATACTCTTGTGCTTTTTTTTCTTCAATAAATGAGGACCACACATTGTTTGTCTATAATGTTTGTAATTTTTTTGCACACAGGTACAATGTAATTCAAAAAATAAAGAACTCACATTATTAGTCTTAGTGCTTAACTTTATTTTTTAGATTTAAGCTAAAGAAAAGATTTTTTTTTTAAATACACTTCTTGCTTAACAGTCCCCCTTTTTAAAAGTCTTATTTACTGCCATCTCAGCATAGCAGAAAATAAGTTAAAAGAGTTTCATGAAAACTACAATTACTAGGTCAAAGTTGGTCGAAACAACTAAAGTTTTATATCACTTGATGCAATATACATCAATTATTTATTTATGTATTGCAACATGGTATGTTTTTCATTGTCAAATTATTTATTAAAAGTTTCAATACTTCATCCAGATTCTAATCTCATTAAATCAAAATTCATTCTATTTCTCTAATTTTCAGTATTAGTACTATCTCCATTTAATCCTGTTGTTTACGATTCAGTTCATTAATTTAACGATTTAGCTAATGTCGTTTGCTGATTTTTAGGTTTTAATTTTTATATTTACTTTATTTTAGGTTGGAATGCAATAAGAGATTGGAAAGACATACTTTCAGGTGGGGAAAAACAAAGAATGGGAATGGCACGACTATTTTACCATAAGTAAGCATAGTTTTTAGTGACTCAAAAATTTCTCATGCTAAATATGCACAAAGACAAATAATAATTACTCCCAATTGCTCAAAAGCTGGAGATGCTCCAAATTTTTTTTTCTAATTTTTTTTTTATATTTCCAGTTATTATTGTTTTTTTTCTCTTCAAAATTTTTCCACATATAATAGAGCATGAAAACAAACTTGCAATTTAGTGCAGAATCATCTCAGATTGACGAAACAAAAAATTGAATTAAATACAGCTATAACAGTTTAAAGTTTGTCAGCTTCAAAATACTTGCAGGGTATCCGCACACCTGGAAAGTCATAGATTTCGGTATTGAACAAAATTTGTCATAAAATGTCACGATTTTAGCTATTTAAGAAGAAAAAAAACGTGAAAAGTCATGGATTTCGGTTGTCTAAAAATCTCATTTAAAAAATAGAATTTACCCCTCTCCCCCCAATTTCCGAATATCTGAATTTGTAACAAAATCCCCACTCACAGTCATATTTTATTAAAATATAAAATGTTTTTATTGTGTTCTTTAAAAATTATGGTGTGCTTTCAAAAAATAAAAGAAAAAACATATTTGCAAATTATCTTTTAAACTTCTGTGATTTCAGAATTTTTGTTATTATTTTTTATTTTATTTTACCAATTTAAAACTTTAGCTAAAGCAAGCCAGTCATTGGCGAATTTTTTTATTCCGAAATGAGAACAGAAAAATCAGGAGTATTTCTTTCCTTTCCTATGAACAAGAAAAGTATCTTTAGAATGTAATTCTGCAGAGAAAAAAAATTATTTGTTTTTGTATTTTTTTCAGCTATTTTATTACTTCAACTCTTTCTTTACTCTGTTTTTTAAATTTAAAATCTATAAATGTGAAAATGCAGAGTTTAACAGTTTTAGTTATACCTATCATTTCAATGAATGTTATTATAATGCTTTTTTAAATTTATTGTTGTGTTGTTATCGGGGAAAATAGTAACTTCGTTAGGCCATGAAAAAATCTTGGAATTAGTCATGGAAAGTCATGACTATGAAAATCTAAATTGTAGCAGATACCTTGTACTTGCTTACGTATTATTGTGATTGGTGACATTTTCAACCAGGTATTCACAAAATAAAATGTAATATTATCTGTGCTAAACTTAGATTAACATAAGTATTTAAAATACGTTATACTATAATGAAAGTCAAGAACACTTTTTATTTCATTTTGTTATGTATTTAAAAGCATTAAAAATGTCTATTTTGCTATAAGTCCCTTGAAATTACAAATTGATTTAAAAAAAAAATTTAATGCAAATTTCAGTTCCTTGACAAAATTTTGTTTAAAATCATTATATGCTATGAGTTTTTCTCCTTACCCTAAACTTTATTAATCTGTATATTTGATTGTTTTTGTGTTCAATTTTAGGCCACAATTTGCTTTACTTGATGAGTGTACTAGTGCTGTTTCAATTGATGTTGAAAGTCAAATATATCAAGCTGCAAAAGATACAGAAATTTCTTTATTGACAATTACTCATAGACCTTCCTTATGGTAAGTTGTTCAAAATAGGGAATTTTAATATGTTATAACAGAGTGGGCATAGAACAGGAAAAAGTCGGAGAATTGAAATAACTATCTAGAAATTTAATTAAAATACCATAATATCCAGGGAAAATGAATTCTTTTTAATACTTTAAAGTCTAATATTTTCAACAACAAAAAATTGGTCTTGCAATAATTTTTTATGAAGAATTGTTTATTTTTGACGCTTTGATCAAAAGTAAAAATGTTTTGTAATGGATATATTATCCACGAAATTAAGGCAGAATTGAAATATAAATTATAAAATTTATGTCATTAGGTATGAAATTTAGAGAAATACAATGAACTCAGTTAGGAAAAGACTGGTAATTTTTACTATTATTATATTTTTTAGTGTTTGTGCCTGCCCTGTGTTACTAATAAGTTTTTTTTCTTTTGTTTTGATGGGATATAATCATAAAAAGATTGGTTAAAGTAATTTAAAACCAATTTCATGCTAGCTGAGCTTAAGAGTTCCCCCCAATCAAGCTCAATAGTCAAAGGCGAGGAGATGGAAAAATGCTTATTTATTTCCTGCTTGTTTTAAAATAATATACATCACAAGAATTTTTTAGCATCTTAACCCCTTAACGATTGGTTAATTTTCAAGAAAACGGTTATAAAAGTGCCTATTTTTTTATACACGTATTTGATTAGTGCTGACATCTAGTTTAAAATAAACTATCTACAATTACCTTGAAAATTTCCTGGTACTGCCTCCTGGTGTGTAAAATGAGAAATAAAATGTTTTCCAGGCTAAAGAAATTAATTCGTTTTATTCTTATTGGCACGCTACTCCAGTCCGGAAATATAACGGGAGCGAGAAATAGAGGGCAAAACCTCACCATGTCATTTTCACAGGAGCAAGAAGGAAAGGGTTAATCGGGTTTCATTAATTGAATAATCAGTAAAATTATATTTTAAAAATCTGAAAACAGACAAAATTTGCATCCTTAATTTACTTACATCCACTAACGGTGTAATTTTATTGCTTCACATTTTTGTTAAGAGATCCATAGAATTTTTAAAAATAATTAAGTACTATTTTTTCTTGTCATCTAATAATGTGGCGTTTTATTTTCTACCTTTTTTGAAAGGTAATTTCAATGCAGTCTGTCATCAAGAGTTAGTTAAGACCTAAAAACTTTTAATGATAAAAAAATTAACATAAAATCCAAGAGGGCGAGGGAAGAGACCTACAAAGGCAGTTTTTAATGAAAATTAAATGCAATTAAATCTTTCTAAATAAATTAATCATTTCTTTGTTATTTTGACCTTTAATTATTGTCAAAATTTTGTATGTTTTTTTTTCTTCACAGTTAAATATTTAATTGTGACTCCTAATGTGCATAGGTGATTTACTTTATTTTAACAAGTATTCTAAAAAGCCATATTAAGGCTAATCTTTGCCAAATATCCTTTACATAGTAGTATTTCATTTTTAGGAAATTCCACACACATTTGCTGAAGTTTGATGGAGAAGGAGGTTGGAGTTTAGAACCTCTTGATACCAATACAAGGCTTTCTTTGCGTGAAGAAAAAGAAAAGTTAGAATCATCTTTAACTGGTCTACCCCAAATGAAAAGAAGACTTAAAGAATTGTGCACTTTGCTAGGAGAAGATTCAGTTGTTATTTCAGATCTCTGAGACTAATGAGTTTATTTTTTGTGTCTCTTCAGTCATGGTAAAAAATATTTTTAAATTAAGAGGTATAGCACATTTAAAACAAAAAGAAAAGTTTTTTCCCATTTTTTGTGAAATTATGCTATTGTTAACAGTAAAAGGACACAATATCTTTATGAAAATGAAATTGTTTTTACATTTAAAGAACAAAGCTTTAACTTATTGTTACAGCTTTTTCCATTTGACATTTCAAAGCCTGAAATAGCTTTTTAGTAACTTTGACGTTTCATTAGTAGATTATTTTTAAACTAAACAAAAGTGGAATATTAAATTACTCAAGATTTTATTTTTAATTTATATTTTACATAATTTTTTAATTCTTGATTTCAAATTCAGTTTCGATAAAGGACCTAATGATTTCCTTGTGCAATCTGTTTTTCTCAATATTTTTAAATTCCCCCTGTTGCAGGCTATCCCAAAATTTTTTTGTGGTGTAAAAAAAGTGTTTGACAAAGCTGTAAAAATTAAAGCTATAATGACATAATGGTTTTTAACTAATGAAATTGAACTACAAAATTTGTAAAAAAAATTTACTAAAGATTTAAAATTTTTAAAAGGTCCTTAGGAAAAATTGTTTTATTAGGATTTTAAAATTGTTTATTTTTTAACGAATTCTGAAACATGATCTAGCATGTTGAAAATTACTAAATCAATAAAGAAGGCTCATGTATTTTTCAAAATCATTAATTTTATGGTTTTCAGATGTGAATCTAGATAAGTTTAATAGTTAAAAAATAGAAGGAAAGTGTCTTAAAAAAGTGCTATACCCCTTAAGATACTTAAAAGTTGAAACATGTTAATGTTTTAATCAGTGGCAAGCTATAAAAAATAAACCAAACTGTGGATCTACATGATAATTTATGTGTACATAAACATTTATTTATACAATTTTCAAGACATGTTATTGTATGTTTAATCTCCTTATACACTCATATTTTGTACAAATAATGTAAATGTGAATTCTTTATTTATGAGCTTATAGTAAAAGAGTTTAGTGAAAAATTATGTTAAATGATTTTTTGAAAGCATTTTAATTTTCAGGTTTATAAACCTATTACTGTTAGCTGTTAATTTAGAAAATTAATTTATTCTCCAGTAATAAAATAATGTTTTCCATTGAAAAAAATTTTAAACAGCTTTTTAGGTTTCTATACATTCTTAAGCTGATTTGTACAAATTCAGAAAAATGTCATTTGATATAATCTTTTACTAAAATCTTCAATTATTAAATATTGATTTTAATTATGGTTTAATGACATTTGTTGCAATCCCCCAAAATTTTTTTATGTTGATGTGATATTTTATTTTCCCTTGCAGGGTAAAATTTAAACGAAATTAAATTATATAACTTATTTTAATTGCTTGAAATGAATTTAAGATTGTTATTTATGACATAATTTATTAAATTTTAAATAACAATTTTCACTGAATCGTATCGTAGCTTTCTGTATCTTTTAAAGCTGATTTTTGCTAGGATTGTATTGATTTTAACCTATTTTATTTTCTCTGGCAGGGTATAATTTTAAAGAAATTTATTATTATTTAGTAAAAATAAAGAGAACTTATTTTAATTTGATGGAAAGAATTTAAAATTTTAATTTATGATGATAATTTATTAAATTTTTAATAACAGTTTTTACTGAATCATGACTCTGTATTTTTTAAAGCTGATTTTTACTAGGATTATATTGATTATAACTAGTTTTGACCTTCCTGATGTATATCAATTAAAACCAGTTTTACAACTGAAACGTACTGTTATTATTTTTAAATATCAGTCAAATATGCTGTAATAACCGATGTTAGTACTAAGTCAACATTTTTTAAAAATTTGAACAGAATGTCAACATAAATATTTAAAAAAAAATTTTACTCCCTTTTTTTGTAATTTGTGTTGAATATAAAGATATGATTACATAAGGATGAAATACATTATGATTAAAAATGGTTTCATAGTTTATGTATTTATTATTTTTTTTTTTGTTGTTGGTATTATTCCAATCTCAGAAAATAATTTATTCTATTAATGAAGAACTGGCACTACCTTTCTTCTGACATTATGTAAATGTTATATTTTTTACAGCTACTAATTTGTATTTTACAAATTGCACTGTTAAGTTTTCAATTTTTAACATTCTTATCAGTATATTTTATCAATAAGCCTCACAAACTTATTGTATAATGGTACTCTACTTTTAATTACAAAAAGAATTAAGAGGTAGGACTAGAAGAGGTATGAATTTTATTGGGAGAGAACTATTAAGAGGTATGACCACTTTTGAATAGTTAAAATTACTTATATCCTGTATATTGGTTAAAATCAGTTTTGTTTGGTTGAAATTATGATCTTAGCTAAAATACCATTTCATGATATTTTTACTAAGTTCGTCTAATACTTATAAGTTCTTTTACTTATCACTGCTTAAAAATTTTATATTTTTGAGTGAGGAAAAGAACTTTTGTTAAAAATAATTTTCAGTTAAACAAAAAAATTAGTTTATTAAATTTTTTAAATTAATTTTAATCTCTGAACTTATTTTAATTGGCTAATAACAAAGTCATGAGCTGCTGAAGAAAATGGTCATTCAATGAAACAGCAAAGTGCTTAATCAATCTATTTATCTCCAAAATCTGTTTTTTTTTTTTTTTTTTTTTTTTTTTTTTTTTTTTTTTTTTTTTTGAAGCTTGTCTCAATGTCAAACAGAAAATTGTTTTTTATTCAACTAGAAATATAACTGTAAGAGTGTTTTTCCCTTAAAATGTAGTGCAGTTTTAGATCTTGTTAATATTTGTAATTTTTGCGTTATATTTTGTAAAGTTTTCTTTAAAAACTATTTTTATGTGTTTCTTTATGAGGAGTATGCATAGTTTCTTTGAAAAAAAGCTTCAGAAATTTATTATGATAATCCTTTACCTGTAAAAAGTACTATACGTAAAACAAAATATTAAAAAGTGACAGATTTAATTTTTATCATCAACCAATAACCTTACATACTTAGTAAAAGACAATTTTTTAATATTAAATTTTTCTTTACAATAATGTGATTGCAAAATTAGAAATTTAGAGTTTTTATTTTTTAAACTAAGTTTTAACACTTTTCTGAGCTTTATTTAAAAATTAAGTGACAGGGTTGAGTAATGAGATATTTTGAAGAAATAAAGGACATGTGCTTATTTAATTGTTTAATATATGTTACTGCTGTGTAAATTATCAATTTGCTTTGCTTTTTACATAAAACAAAATACACTATACATTTTGTGTATGTAGAGGAATGTTTATTTGTATTTTATATTATTTTTATTTATGTAAAACAATGTTGTGTGTGAAAAAAGCTGTTGTATACTTAATTTAAAATAGATTGCATGCCATTAATTATATTATAGATTCACAAATAAGATTTTTTTAAATTGCTTTAGAAGTAATATTGTTTTATATTCTGATGCATGTTTTTTGCAATACTTCAGTAATAATTAAAAGTAAATTGCATTATTTCTTATTTTAGTTTGCATAAATTGAAGTTTTGTTTTGATGGGCTGTATAAGCAATATATTGCAAATTTTAAATATCCTGTTGTGTTAATATTCATTCATCAATAGTTCGACAGTCCTGGATGGACCCTGGCTTTTTCAAGAAGACGAGACCAGTCCTTCCTACTGCGTGTCACAGCCATCCAGTTTCTGGCGTTAATTTAGACAAAGAATATTTTAATCTTAGGATACTTGAATTTAAAAAATATCATTCTAATCTATGTAAAAAAAAAAATTGTTTTCACATAAAATTTTGTTTTTATTTTGCAGTTATCAGCACAAAACTTCATGAATTCAGAAACTGCTGCTAATGCCGCAGCATGATGTTAATAATTTGTTTGGTCTTGTAATTTTTTAGACACAAATTATGATGTACAAAAAGAAAATTCATTAAATAGAATTGAATACTGTTTTTATTTAGTTCAAATTTAAAATTTGTGGTACTTTACATTGAACACAAATTTGTAAACTTCTACAAATTTGCATATTTTTTTCTAAATTAAAGTTTTTATTCTGCGGTGTGATATGTAACATTACATTAAACATTTTCTGTAAAAAATACTTTGAATGTAACAATCTATATAAGTAAATTATATTTTGTTTTATTTAATATATATATAAATATTATTTTTTTTTTTGGTTAGCCTTAACAAATGAGCTTTTATGTTTATTTATGGATTCTGTTGAATGCATTATTTCAACGACGGTATCTATTGATACATATTAAAATTTGTTTTAAACAAATGTATAATTGCATATAAATGTAAACCTTGTTATTATTTTAATTGTGTACTTGTATAAATAACTAGTTATTAATTCCTTAATCTAATTTAGAATATATTTTCACTAATATACAAATATCTGACTTGAGTCAAATTTTGTCAATTCTTTTTTAATATGACTTATATTTTACATTATTCAAAGAAATCCTTTTTACACTTCTACGAATTTGCAATTCAAATCCTTAACCTTTTAAAAATAAATCATACATTATCTCCTATGTTTTCTTAATTAGTGTTATGCTTTTTTTTATAGTCAGTCTATATTAAGAACTCTCATCACTAAGTCTAAGGCCATCTGCTGTTGACAAGAATTAGTGCATTTCAAAAAAGGGGATTGACGAAAATGACTAGCCAAAATCTGTCATAAATATTGGCCTAACACCCCACCCCTACTTAAAATTAAACCTCTTAACTTAACTATTAATGTTCTAGATTAATGGTAATCTGAGTTCTTTACATAGACAGACTATACATTGCTTATTTTTTTATTCTGCTATGAATTATTTGTTTTTAAGGAGTCTTCCGTTATAACACACCCATTCCATTATTACACATTATAACAGGGAAAAATTATACAGTTTATTGACATGAAACTTTTTTCATTCATTTGTTCACCATAATAATGAATATTTTTAGACATTTTATTTTTTTGATTGAAGTATGTATTTTTAGTGAGTAAATTCTGCAAATGTACTAAAAAACATGTTTTATCAACATGTTATTACTTCTGTTCAAAATGGCAATCTATTTTGCTTCATTCCATTGAGAATTATTGAATCAAGACAAAATAGTTGAATTTATGTTTTGTAAAACCTGTATCGGTTATTATTCATGGATACAAGAAAACTATCATTGCAGGTCAACATATCAGACAATGACTTGAAAATGTTTAAAAAGTAATGAAATGAGTAAGTTATTAACTTAAAATTTAATAAATTTGAAATAAGTATAAAGAAATTTAATTGAAAAAATTACATACTTAATGCAAAAATATTTACAATGCATGAATGGAATAAGCACATTTATTTAAAATATTTGGAAATTTTGGTTTGAATTTCTTCTTTTCTTCTCAGTGCAAAAAATAAATTTTCTACATTTTTAATAGTTTGGTGTTCATCATCTGTAAATTTGTGTGAAAACAGAAAGTTACGCATTGCTTAAAATATTTTGAGGTCTTCAGCAAACGTACCAAATGTAATATAAATACATAAAATTATAATAATAAATGACATAAACAAATTATCAAGTAGTAGTTGAGCCTATTACTCCTATAAGAAGTTGAACATAATTGGCCAGAAAATGTTGCCATTTTACCTCGCCTAAAAATTTTTTTTAGCATTTTTACATACTCTAATATTTGAGTGGAAACTCTATTATATATTTCTCTTTACCTTCAATAATGCATTAAATAATTGTTAATAGTAAATAGAGCAAACAACAAAAATTCATTGTTCTAGCAACCAGAAGATGTAATTATTTGAATTGCTGAAGGTCAAAATGATATATTTCTGCCTGATTGGTTGGACATCTCTATATAATTGCATTGAAATTTTATACCTAAAATTTGTTCTTTGGGATAACGTTATGCTGAGAAGACCCCTTAAAATAGATTGTTTCACTCTTTTTTTTTATTAGTTACTTTAAAATTTTGTACGTATAAATGCATAACATTGTTTTTAGAAATAAATGTGCTAGAGAACTTAAATGAGTTTATATTTTTTAATGCAAATTGTAGTGCGTTTAGTTACTGTTTTTTTTTTTTTTTTTCAGTAAAATTATGACTGCTTGTAATAAACTCTTCTGAAAGACATGAATAACCTGAAATGTTTCGAATCTAATTTTGTAATTTTTTAGGATAAACGATGTTATGAGTGATTTTAAAGTTGCAAGAAAATCAAGCCTTTAAAATGCTTGTTTTAGTTTCAAGTCTGTTGTAATTAGTCAAAGTAATTATATAGTGCTCGAAAGTCATTTTAAATTTTCCATTTTAATAAGCTGATTGAAAATTCGAGATTATTTTAGTTTTATTTATTTATAAGTATGTATATTGTATATTTTAAGGAATTGTTTTATTTTTTCTACCGGTGTGCAATTTTATTCCCAGGTGCAAAAATTTGGTATGGATAGATAGCTTATTTGAATTGTATTTTGTAATTTACAATGTAGTGCCATTGACATGCATGTTTCCTCTCGCAAATAATTCGATGTAATATTTATTATCATTTCAAATAAATAAAGCGTCTGGGAATCTTTTACTTGTTGTGTTTTTCTAAGTCGTTTAAATCTTATGTAAGTGCTTTCTCCTTTTTATCCTTGTCAGCAAAAGTAAGTGATTTAACATCCTGTCCTTCTATTTGTATGTAGCATTATTCTCGTAATTTAGCTTTTCTGCCTGGGTAACAAATAGTTGTTTGTGAACAAAAGTTAGCAATTATTTTACAGTAAATATTGTTTAATAATAAAATGAATGAAATTCACTGTTGAATTGTAATTTTCGACTTCCAACATAAATTATATTAGACACAAACAAAATTTGTCATATTTCAAAAATGTATAGAGAAGGACCATTCAAGTTAAAATATTTACATGTGTATAATTTCTATCCTTCCTCTCAGAAATCTTTTTTTGATGTTCAAAGAGATACTGAATTAAAACAATTAAGCATGTTTTTAATCCATTCACAATTTCTCCTTAGAAACAACTCGACAAATTTTTTGCTTTAAACTTGCTCAAGCAAAGTTGCCAGAATTCAATTTTTCTTTAAGAAATGAAAAATAATGTAAATAAAAAGAATTTTTTTAAGAGACAATATGATTTTATTTAGAGGGAAAACAACGCTATATTTAATTCTTTTTTCTTAAAAAATATTCTTAGCAGCAAAATTGCCATCAATACAAATTTCAATCGATTAGATTTGAAATTCAGTCTTGGCACAAGTTCAAAAATACTTTTTTTTTTCAAACTATAATAAGATTTTCTAAGCTTTAAATTTTAGTAAACCTTCAAAGTTTAATCTAATCCAACTTATAGTTTGAGAATTTTTATCACGAAATATAATTATAAAAAAACGTTTGTTTTGATGGACTTCATAAACAGTATATACTTAGTGATCTAATTTATAAATGATAAAATGAAGGTATTCTAAGGATTTAAAAAAAAAAAGTTAAGTATAATTTAACATACATAGTCCAGTCACATGCAACCACTACCTACCATAGAAGACAGGTGGCTACACATTGCAGTGGCTTATATATAAGGGTGTCAAAGGCAATTTGAAAACCCTGCAATAAATTGGCATTATGCAGAATTTATTTGCATTCCAAAAGGACATGATCATTGGCTTTTGTACCAAGGGTGGAAGCATTTCTAAAGGAGCTAATTTTGTAAAATAAATAAATATAAATTTTGTAAAGAATTAACAATGAACTATTCTGTTTAAACTATAAATGAATCGTGCTTATTTAGTTCAATTACTATTAATTAATGATAAAAAAAATTTTAAAGTAGGGAAAATACTAGTATGCAGTAGTTATATATTATGACAGTAGTTATATATTATGCAGTAGTTATATATTATGACATTTTTTAAAAAATTTAAAAAAAAAATTGTGTCTTATATATTTAAACATAGTTGAATAAATTGTTTAAGTATCTCAGCAGTAGAATATTGATAAAATATATGTAAGAAAAAAAAGACTCAAAAACTTATTAAAGTATTTATTTCCAAATGTACAACATTTATTCTAAACTTGGAAGAAATAACTTGATAAAAATGTGACAAATGAAATGAATTTTTCATTTCTATATAAAATATAAGCTTTATTAACCAAATCTACTTCAGTTCTGCAGGAATCCAAGACCACATACAAAGTCTTGAAGCACAACACATTAACAGTAGATTGATAAGCTTCATGGAATTGTAAGAAGGCCCCTTAAAGATGTTTTTCTCACTATAAATGAAAACTTTTGATGATCATTATACACTTCTTTGTCTCACAGTCAAAAAATGACTGATGAAATTTTTAAAGCTTTACTTAAGCTTTAACTGTCTAAGAATAAAAGTAAAAAAACAGAAAAAACTTTATTTCTGCTCTAACAATAAGTTACCGATCAGTCTTCCTCGCGTCATTGGATTACAATCCCTTCATTGATCTCTGATCATCATCTGAATGCTTTATTTATTGCTTTTAATTCAATGTTTATGTTGTAACTTTTTCCAAATTTGCAATAAATTAAAAAAAAAAAATTCAAAATTTAAAAATAAGTATAAAAAATTTATATTAATCTGGTACTGTATTAGCTATTTTTTCCAGTTTCATTTATGTTACCTTTCTAGGTATATTAAAATTTTTGATTATCTGTTTCTTCCTCCTATAAATTTGCTGTAAGGTAGCTTTTAACTAAACCTGTATAAAATTATTAATATAAAATATTTTTATTACCTAATATGCAAATGAACGTAATTCGTGTTATTTTCATATTGCACATTAATATGCCTTACATTTTTTTATGATTATATATTTATGTGAATGTTACTTTCAACATAGTATTTTCTACTTTTTGTGTCCTGCTATACATAAATGGTTGTTCATAAATGTTGTACATAAAATTCACTGTTGCTCTTGTGTTGTAGCTGAAACAATGCACATTTCTGCATCTGCAAATTATCTTTTAACTCAAAATGTTTCTAAGACAAATGAATAAAAGAGAAAGAGCGGGTTCATGGATTTCTTATAAAGAAACATTAAATATGCAAACAAAACACCTTACAATAGAACTGATAAAAAATCAGTTATTTTTCTTTAATTAATCAGAATTGTCTAAAATAAGAAATATTTTTAATAAGATTCAGTTTTTGTTCAAAATGCTCTAATTTTAAAAAAAATCTTGGAATCTTTTTTGAAATCTTTTGATTAAATTTTTCCTTTTTTTTCATTCAAATTTTTCTTTCTTTATAGATATTTTTTGAAACTTTTCCTTATTTTTAAAAATTCTATTTACTTATTTAATAGCTTTCACTATTAATAGTTATTTCTCTTTTAGCTATTATTGTATGATATTCAAATTAAATTTATATTAACTTTTTGGAATTTAAATCTACGTTGTCAAATTTTGATAGATAATTATGTTTGACTAAACATAATTTTTACAATAAAGTATACACAGTATGTTGGGATTGGAGGAAAATAAGGATTTTTGAAGCTAATTTTGGAGATGCAGGAGAAATTCTGCTAATCAGTCAATTCTGCAAGGTTAAAAGTGTTTGAATTCTATGTGCAAATTTGGAAAAATAAAACAACAATTTATCATTTTTGTTTTAAACAAATTTGTTTAAACATCAAACAGTATGATTTCATAACCCTTCAAACGCCAATCAAAGTCAATTAAACCTTTAAAGTTAGGATTATTGTAACTTTCAACAAAAAGATCTAGTACGTGGAATAAAGCTCTTCTTTGATTTTTTTTGGGGTAAATTCCACTTCGAAATTTCTTGGTAATTAATGTATACTTCAATTTATCGACTATTTCTTTGGACAGAGGAAAAAACCATTCTAGCAAACTTCTAACTTTATCCCATTTTGGAAGTATCAGTAATGCCTCTAAAATTGAATTAATACCTCTCCTGGAAAGCAACAATTTATACTTATATTGGTTTGATTTCACAATGTCAGGGAGACACCAATTTAATAGCCTTGTTGCAAAGATCAAATTATGTGCTTCTACTATATGCCCCACTTCTTTTAAAAGTAACTTTTTCAAGATCTTAATCTTGGGGGAGGGAAGAGATATGTGATTTAAAAAGTTTTCAAAAATGTCCCACCCATATTTATCAAGAGAACTTAATCTGAACACTAACTTTTCGAAATATAATATATTATCTTCACTGACAAATCCATTTATGAATTGATTTACTTCCGTTTCGGAATCAAAACACCAGCTCAAAAAACGATCAGCATGGCCAAAATCACCTAACTGAATTAAAGAAATAAATATTTCATTTAAATTTAATTGACTTTTCTTAAAATTTTGAATTTCACTTAGAGATTGAAATCCCCAATTCAAAAACTGCTCAGTTGCATTATAATTAAGTTTGCACATGCAATCACAACAGTAGTCATTTGCATAGGTGACCATAACATGTTGCTTGAAAGTATTGATGTCACTCTCTGACATTTCCTTTGATAACAAAGCATTAGCAAACCTTAACTTACTTTCCTGTATAAGGCGTTTAAGGTTAGACTGAATTAAATTAGTCACAAATCTATTTCTTTCTATTGGAGAATCGTTGTTCAAAATAATGCATATTGTTGGAATTTCCCCGGCCAATAGCAATGTCGATAGCATAAATAATCTGGCCTTAGGCTTACTGTTTATGATAGAGAGGAAATGATTCTGAAATTGTAAAGGACTATAATGCCAAATTGCCCTGAACTGTTCCTCTGTTAACCTTCCACCTTTTGTTTCCGAAACAAGATCTTTCATAATAGATGCGTAAGTATCAATATGAATATAGCTCATTAACTTAAACATTGCAGGCACCAAAAATCTCTGAAACGGCCAGTAGAAACACAAACTTAAAAATAATATCTTCGAGTGGCAATTAATAATTTGTCTCCCTTTTTCAGGGTCGCTAGCTGGTTCCTGCGCCAGTAAAAACCACAGCATATCAGTGTGTACATCGTAGGTTTGGTGCTGAGTATATTTATGGCGTTTAATTTTCCCAGTTAGTTTAGTCACCCAGTTTTCTATATTCACATATTTTTCATGATCTGATAGTTTAAACCAGAAATATTTAAAAGCAAATGGATTTCCAATATAAATTGATAATAATATCAGATTTTCATAAATACCAAGGTCAGGATTATATATATTATACGGATCAAAAAGCAAAATCTTTGTTAACAAATGAGGCAACACATTATTCTGAACAGCAGCCCAATATGCTAGTATGTGAGTTTTATAGAGTATACTCAAAGTATTGAGTTGCATAGTTTTTGCAGATGGTGCTTTCTCCCATAAATCTAAAATATCTTCTTCGAGGCAGTACTTGCAAGCTAATTTATAAAAATAATCCAAATCTTTTCTTGTCACAGCATTGATAATCAGCTCTTTGAGTGATTTGACTTGATCAAGGACACCTTCCATAGTCCAATAGAGCAAGCCTCCCTTTTTATAAAGATCATAAAACCTACAATACTCTTTTCTATTATGTTCAGTGGACCATCGAAACTGCAATCCTATAGGCATCATACATTGAGTTACATTAAGTTTTAATGACTCGGGCAAAATTAACTCATTTAGTTTTTTAAGCGCTCTTTCTTCCAATCTGGAATACGCTAACTCAAAGTGCACACCCGCTTCGTGTATATTTTGGCGATGACATTGTTGAATTTGATGTTGCGTCGCCATGAGTTCATTCATACCAGCTGCTTCCCATAGTTTGATGGCTATGGAAACTGAAGCTATGTTCATCAAGGAAGGTGGCTCAGATAAAAAATAAAAGTAACTTTCTCTATCGAGTGGAATTCCTGAAACATAGAATTAACAGTGTAAGAAAAGATAGTTATCTCTGCACTTGAATACTTAAAAATAATACTGTAAAAAAAAGAACAAAATAATTAGCAGTTTTTCACTGGTGATGATAATCGTTTATTCATTTATTATTTCTTTGGGAGTTAACTAAGGAGTAGAAGAGGGAATAGTTTACTAACAGTATATTTTTACTCAAATGAGCTCAATTAAGTAAAAAAAAATTTTAGTTCTTAAAAGTTTCACATTAATAAATTTTAACTGAATATATTTTATTTTATAGAACACATTCAACAACTTAATCATATAGGTTTCACAGTTACCGATGTTAAATTTAGTAGACTTGTAGCTTTGAAAACAATCCAGAAGACAAGGAAACTATTTAAATAAATTATGTGGACTTGGGTCATTTTTTTTTGTGCAGATTTTCTAATGAAATTAATCACAACAGCAAATTACCTTTGTGACAAAGATGATGAAATTGCCTTTCCAAATTTAAATAAAAAAGGGTAACTTTGTAGATATTTTTTTGATTTACCTAATTATTACTTTGATTTGACTTTTATGACATAAAAAATAAATAAATAAAAAAGTTTGCAAAACTTATCGCTTCCGCACGGCTAACCGAAAAAGTACCATATTTTCTAATAAAACTACAGAAATAAAGGAAAGATTTCAAAATCGTAATCTACTGCAGTATAATCATGGAGTATTTGCAATTTCTGGGCCACGAACCGTGAGAAACTAATAAAAAAATATCACAGAGGATGACCAATGAGGGACATTTCCGTATCGTGATCTGTGGAGCCAACTACAATCGCAAAGTGCCAAATAGATTTTTAAATTGCAAATTTAAAAAACAAAAACACATAGATGTTTGCTCAGAGGTGGCTACGAGTTATACCTTTCAAATTGGTCCCTTTCTGTGATTTTTTTTCAGTTTCTTCAAGTATAATTTTTTCATGAGGGGTATTCAAAATTGAAGTGAGGTTAAATTTAAAATTAGGGTCTGATACTAATGCTTTATAGATATTTAAATAGACATAGGTTATATTAAAATAAATAATAAAAAAATAGCTAAATATATAAAGTGTTCATTTTCAAACACTGTTTTTCAAGGACTTTAAAAATCTTGTTTTTTCCTTTCCGTCTATTACTCTTAATGTGATTACCTTATAAGAAAGAAAAAAATAATTATTAATTGGGCCTAGCTAAATTTTTTCTTTAAATTACTACAGATGTTTTTTCAAATCAAAACTCTCAAGCATTTTCCGATGTTAAACTTCAAATCTAAAAGCTTAAAATTCTAAACGGTATTTATATAAGAGAAAACATTTTATTATTTAGAATAATTATTTATTTAAAATTTCTTTACAACTCTATTTCAATTAAAATAACACTGACTTCAAAATAATTTGTTTCATTTCATTTATTTGTTTCACTTTTACTTTTCTAAATAACTCAAATATTTTAATTTCATATACCTGACGTAAAAGTATTTAAAGCAGAGCAAATTTTCAGGTGTAAACTTGAAATTCTGTTATTATAATAAGGTATATTATAATATTGCATAGTTATTACTTTTCTCATTGAAAACAAATTTATTTCATTCTTCTTAATCATATGTTTAAAGTTAATGCTCATGTAAAATTTAGTATCTTTTTGTACTTAATAACAGTTACTTTGCAAGAAATATAAAAATATAGTGATAATAAAAATTTAAAGGAACTAATTTAATACCTTTACACTTAAAATAAATTTACACTTGAAATCTAATAAAGTTTCAACCTAATACATACACTACATAATTGAAATAATTTTAAATTTACCTTCGAATAAATAAAAATAAAAAAAAATTGAGGGTGTTTTTTGAATTGATTAGAAAGCTCATTTAAAATAAATAAATCATTTTCATAACAAAGCATCATGACTCAAATGTAGAACGGAAATTATTAATAAAAATTGAATAAAAAGTTAAAGGAAATACATTAATGTATGAAAAAATATTCCACTAAATTAAAATATATTTAAATAACATACTAAAGGTTCTGAAAACAACTAGAAAAATTGAACAATTTTCGAGCACATCTTACATAAAAATTCCTAAGTAAATGTTGAGAAGAAATGCGATTTGAGAGTTACCTCCTTTTTAAACTTTAAGTTATGACTACTCTTGGAGCACCCTACATCCACAATAATAGTAGTTACATCTTATTTCGATCTCAAATAGGCAGCCCCGAAATTCAAGGAAATTTTTCGAGTGAAGCATTTATTATCAAATTCCAACAAACAAGTTTTTATTCTGACCTATAGATATCCTTCATGGATATCAAGAAAATGATAGAAAAAGCAGGGCAATTTGAAGCAGTGAATTTTTTCCCATAGTAAAAAAGAATCGGCTGTGTAAGTAATGACAGGGAGTGGGCGGGATACCTTGGTTTCACCATGTGGTAAAATGATTTTTAACGTGTTATTTATCTAAGAAAAACTTTAAAGGAAGCATAAGTTTTTTTTACAAGCAAAAATTTAAAAAAATGACTAGCTTGAGAAAATATTAAAATTTTTTATTTACAATGGGGGTTTTGAACCTCCTAAGCCACTCCCTTGCCTACGTCCTTGAGTTTCTTGCATGGTGCTGTCTGGAAGTTGCCAAGACTTGGCGATTATTCTGTCATAGATCATGATAAGGAAATATCCACCCCTGCCTAAATTTACATATTACCTTCCTGCCTTTTATAGCCCACCCCTGGGCAAACATCTACAAATATACTTAAAATAAAAACTGCAAGTTTAAAATGCATTCGGAGATTACCTTTGACATGACAGAAAGGATACAGAAATATCCTCCAAATTAAAACTCAAATATTTTTTGTTCAATGCTGAAGATTGGTGATTGAACATTCACAGCTCATTTCTTAGTTGCAATCTGAGCTGTTTCTAAACTAATCTTTGTAATATCTTTTATATATTTACATTCTTAACTCTTTAGTGCTTTGCAAGGAGGGAAAGATCTTTTGCGATCTAAGCTAAAATAATCGGCCACTTTGGGGGTAGCAACAAAAAAATTTCACTGAAGCAATTGTAGTTGACAAATCAAGATACGAATATATCCTAAACTCATATTAGAATTAAATAGAAACCAACTATAAAAAATGATCTTACTTTCCTCTCTTATTGGTTAGGAAACAGAAATTAAAATTATAGAAAACTTTGTAACAACGAAAATTTAATTTCGAACAGACATTTTATATTTCGTTCAAATGAATCCTAAATATCGGTAATATCCTATATTCAAACTAGAATAAAATAGAAACCAACTATAAAAAATGGTCTTACTTTCCTCCATAATTGGCTGGAAACAAATATTAAAATTATAGAAAATTTTGTAACTACGAAAATTTAATTCAGAACAGACATTTTATATTTAGGTCAATTACGAGCATTGAACCTGATTACGAAATACTTTGGTGGTTATTGTGAGATCATCCGTTTTAGTAGACATTTTATACTTGCTTGCAACTTACAAATTTTATCCTTGGCTTTAGCGAGAAAATGTGCAAGCTCTAAGCAAACATTTTGATTTTGGTATGTACTTGTTGCCTATTTAAGGGACTTTCCCGTTTAGATTAAGATCAATAGTTTCTACTGTTGTCGTTCGAATATTCTTCATTAGCAAATGAAATATTAAACTTGAAAAGTTGAAACAGGATCATACTTACTTGTTTGCAATTCTTTGTTTCTGTTTGTACGAGCTATTGAGTTGTATAACGTTATTTGTATTTTATTATAATTTCATTTATATTTAATTATTCAGTTTTGGATTTAATTTGATTTGAAAGTAAAACTCATCACATAATTAGTTCTTTTACCAATTGAAATTGCGTTGAAATTATTTTGTCATACGAAGTTTTATTGACTTGGGTATATAAAAGATCTCCCCGGTCTTAGTTTTGTACCTGAAATTAATTCACGTTTATAAACCATGGATAAAGTTATAGTAGTAGGTGTAGGGGTCCTTGTAGCTGTTGGAACTGCATTATATTATTTACTCACTAATGAAAAGGAAGAACCCATGAGACGTAGAAGTGGTCCTGGTGCAAGACATTCGACCCAACGGTCTAGGTCGCCACCAATCTCCTATTCCGATGTTAAACATGAACCGTGTCGAAAGCGCAAGTCTGTTTCTGTTCCATCTAAGGAGAACACCTCAAATTCTGTTCCCAGTTCATCTAAGGAGAACATCTCAAAATCTGTTCCTGATTCATCTAAGGAGAACACCTCAAAATCTGTTCCTAATTCATCTAAGGAGAACATGTCGGAAACTTATTGCCCATCAGAACCTGATAAAGAGTCTGGGAAAAACTTTGAAATACATAGATCTCTCAGTCCAATACCTCTAAAAACTCAGAATGATACTCAATCTTCCCAAGAAATAACCGATAACAATTATACTAATTCTGCTGTTTGTCGAGCTTGCTTTGAACCTGCAAATGTTACACTTCACCCTTGTAAGCATCGGGTGTTTTGTCGTGAGCATGCAAAATATTTTTTTGAAATATTTAAAAAGCGTTCTCTTATACCTAAATGCCCTATTAATGATTGTAACCAAGTGCTTCAATATTTTATTGAATAATTTATATTATTGCTAAACACAGATTTCATAAACTTTTGAATATATTCTTGTTTCCTATTGGTTTTTGTTTACTCACATAATATGTAATCAATTTTACCTAATTGTCTCATAAAAGTCCTTATAGCTAGTTTTTAAACTCATTTTTACTATAGGTTTTATTGTGTGTTATGTAGATCCAATGCGTAATGGAAGACTGACTATAACATATCTGCAATTTTCCATATAGAGAACTTTTTATTTGCATTGTCAAATGTCTCTCTTTGGTACATTAATAATTTGTGTTTCTTGAGATATGTCTGTATCTTTTTACAGCTACAGTAGGGAACCGATTATACGGAAAGATCGGGACCATCGCTATTCCGGATAACTGATTTTTCCGGTTTTCTGAATCGCTACAAAAAGCCGGGTTTTTTTTATTGTTAAACCCAACTAAAAAAAAAAAAATTGGAAATAATCTTAAAACGAAGTAATACACTAATGATTATTTCCAAAATGATGGTAAGAATACAAAATAGAAAAAAAAAATCCTGAAATCTTATGAGGAAAAAAAACTTTTTTTTTTTTTGAAAATGGGGGGAAAATGTATGGAATTTCATTCCGGTTTTTTGGTTTTCCGGTTTTCTGATTTCCGGATAACGGGTTCTGTACTGTACTAACTTAAGCAATTGATTAAATAATTGAGCAAAAAATTTTTTAACTTGCAAAATTTTTTTTTTTAGGAGTGCGTTTTGGTTGGTTAGCTTTAGGATAGAGCTGCAAGTAAAACATTTCGTGTTTGTTCTCTTTGGTGATTATTTATATATATATTTTTTTAGTTTCTTGTGAGCCTTTCTCTGAAAATCGTCAAGATTTGGCAATTCTTTTGGCACAGATCAGAAATTTTCCAGAGTATTATTCTAATTTTATAAATAATTTGTAATATATTTTCACTTATGACTTTTTCTAGATATATAGATTTTTTTATCTTAAAAAACTAGTTTTTCTTCATGCTATTCTTTCGGAAAGCTGTGTATTTTGAAGAAATATCTAAAGAAAATTATTTTATTTCTTAATTTGAGCCTATATATGAAATTCAGTATTGCTTTCCTAGCATATGTAGTAGGTAATAAACAGGGTTGGCAAGTTTTTGACATGTGACGGTTTTTACCGGTTTATACCATGGTTTCTACTGTCATGTCAAAAAAGTCAAAAACCCATAGTTTTGGTAAAACTGTATTTTTGAGTTTAACTGCTTATAATTTAAAATTAATTCATTTTTGGGCAATAAAATTAGAAAAAAAAGTTGTTAAAAGATATTTAGGAACAGATTCTTGCATTTTCCCAACTTGATTATATCAAAACATACTATTTGAAGTAAAATATTAGGATACTAAACAAAATTTTCAACATTTCCAAGCATCATTTTGTTTGGCATATTACATTACTGAAGAATGTCAAGTCATTCTTGACTTAGATAAGTTAAACAAAACTTTCAAAGCTTGTAACTACTAACAAACTCTAATATTTAAGAAATACCAAATTTTAAATTCTTCGTTTTAGTTCTTGAATTTATTAATAGTTTAAAGCTTTTTTGTTTGTTTGTTTATTTCTAACAATTAAGAAGTGCAAAATTTTGAATCCTTTGCAAATCAAGCTATAATGATAAAAGTAAGCATCACTATTTTCAATAAGTATATTACAATATTTCTATATGAATGTATATCCTTCTATAAGAATACGTGTATATAGTTGAAAAATCAATAGCAATCATTTACAACATTCATTTATAAAGGCAATTATGTGAAAATAATATATTGTCTGCTATATGCCATAAATTAAAGAAAACAGTAGGTTTTTGACGGTTTTTACCGGTAAAAACACGGTTTTAACCACTGTCATGTCAAAAACCAGTTTTTGACAGCAAAAACCCAGCCCTGGTAATAAGTAATTGCTAAATTTTTTATTGTGTATATTTGCTTATAAATGTTTGGTTATAATATTCAATTAAACTCTTGAGCCACAAATCCTGTTTACGTTAATAACCTCCTGACAAATACACCAAATTTTGTGAAGTGGATGCAAAAAAAAAGTTACATCAGATAATTCTTTATTTCAAAAATATTTATTGCACATGTAGATTTATCTAGGTAAAATTAAATTAGCTTTCTGTGTTAAAAGCCAAAGGAAAATATTGCTAGTTAAATTGATACAGAAATTCAGCTTTCATCTTTGTTTAGCTTCATATTAAATCAAAAAAATTTTGTTTTTCCTAATCGTAAATTATTTATTTCTCATCATTAAAATCTTGGGTCGTTAGGATTCTTTCTGTGTCAAATAATGACACCCATTTTACATCACTTTTCTAGATTTAAATGAAATTCAACATGTAGGTAGAGAAGCATACCAAATTTTATTAAAAAATATCTGCTTATTTTGAAAATATAGCCCTGCAAAAGTTTTAAAAAAATCAGCCAAAAAATCTTTGCAGAGCACTTTTTAAAATTATTCTAAAAACTGTCTTAATTTAGTGAGCTAGAGATTTGTGCTAAGTACCATTTTAAAGCCATTATCAATACCTTTATGATAATGTACAACACATTTACTAATTTATAATAATAATTAATTAAAATTTAAACTTTTTAAAATGCGCCGCTTCAAAAATTTTGCATAATACTTATTATAATACTAAAGCGATTGGGTAAGCTTGAAAGTGGGATTTTGATGGGTTACTATTAAAATAATGTATTGAATACTGCTTAGTTGACTAAGTAACACATAATTACGTATTACAAAATAGTTCCAATTGTAAAAGAAAGAAAAAAACAATTATTAAGAAATTAATGCCTTTTTCTAATATTTGAAAATTAACTTCATTTGTTTTGTATCGATATAAAGTAAATAACAATGAAATTGTGTGCGCATATTGCTTTATGTTCTTGTATGCTTCATTTATTCGGATAATTTCATTTTCTGGCAATCTGTATATTCTTCATGTTGGAGTCATAGGGTTAACTAAACAAACAATTTGACAGACCAAAAACCAAAGTACATCTTGCCTTCTTGGGTGAGAAAAAGAAGGTTAATTTTTTGTGAGCACATACATAAACCACCAATTCTAAATTACACATACATATCCTGCTACTTCTGAAAGATTAAGTTTGTTATGTGAAATCATTAATTTTTCAACAACTGATTCTGATACATAAGAAAATGTTTTCACTTTAACTTATGAATTGCTTGAGGCTACAGAGGTAAATCCATATAACTTTTGTGTACCTTTAATAATAACAGATTTACTTAAATTATCTGCAAGAAATTCTTCTGCTTCAATGTCTTCCTGTTGAGTACTTTACAAAAAGTGGACAGATAAAATATTTTCTACAGCCGACTGAAACAGCTGCATTGATATCATAATTTGATTTTGATATGGTCATTGTAAGCTTACACTTGCTACTAACCTCTTAACTGTACACCATCACAAGATCCTTTATTATGTGCAGTGTTTGCGAAGTGCCACTCAGCTCCTATATGAAAATCTTCTTTATGGAAACACAAATTAGTACATATCTTATTTTTATATTGAGCAATCGAACTGACAGAAATCTTTTTAATTCTTCCATCAAATTTAATTTTTAAAAATTCAATTTTTGCTGTAAATAGTGCACTACCACTGTATTATGCTTAAAGAATTGAGAAGTAATTATTAAAATTCCACCCTTTCTTCATTTTTGTAATCTAATTCAAAAAGGGGGACAATTGCTTGATTATTTGTCCAGTGTTAGCTTTTAACCTCATCTTGCAAAATAAATGTGTAGTTCTCAGAAGAGTCATATCACTATGCATTCTTTGTCTTTCAAATTATTTTTTACTTC